CCAAAGAGACAAACTTGTGATTTAACCGTAGAATCCACGATCTGACTGTTGAAAGGGCAGTGGAAATAACCCAGATGACGTCATCAGCCTTGGGGCAGGAAGCTGGCACCCTGTGGCCCCAAGCACAGGTGACTCAGGAGAAGGGTTCAGGTCCAGAGAGAAACACCGCTGAGCTCCGGCTGACTTCGGGTGAGCCACGGTTAGGACTGGTCGAAGGGATTTTTCCCACGCAAGGGCTCTTTGGAAACTCCGTGAGAAATGTACATTATGGAAAAAGTGCATGGACTTCAAATTTCTTTTGCATCAAAATAAATTTTCCCTTTTTTTTTTTTTGACAGGCAGAGTTAGACAATGAGAGAGAGAGAGAGAGAGACAGAGAGAAAGGTCTTCCTTCCGTTGGTTCACCCCCCAAATGGCCGCTACAGCTGGCGCATCGCGCTGATCAGAAGCCAGGAGCCAGGTGCTTCTCCTGGTCTCCCATGGGGTGCAGGGCCCAAGCACTTGGGCCATCCTCCACTGCACTCCCGGGCCACAGCAGAGAGCTGGCCTGGAAGAGGGGCAACCGGGACAGAATCAGGTGCCCCGACCGGGACTAGAACCCGCGGTGCTGGCACCGCAGGTGGAGGATTAGCCTAGTGAGCCGCGGCGCCAGCCAAATTTTCCTTTTAATGCCATTTTTCCACAAACTTTTCAAAGTGCCCTGTTGGAAACAACTGCACACAAAGCAAATTGGTGACATGAAAGGTGTCGTTCAGGGAAATATTCATGATTGTTGGAAGACTGTCACTGGACGCTTGTTTGATAAAGTTGCCTGAATTCTAAGGATGAACCCCGCTATTTGCCAGGCTCACGTGCTGAGAAGTACGTTAGCGGTGTCACCCCAGCTCCCGTCTCAGCAGCCTGGCGAGAGGTGGGTCAGGGAGTGGCCTCTCTCTGGCAGCCTCGGCTGTCCCCCGACGGCACTGCTGGGATTGCTGGGTGTCCCAGAACAGCTCTTCGGGGGACAAAGGAGGAAGCTTTGTTCGGCCTTCTTTTTGTCCCTACTGGTCAAAGGTCGCCCTAAGAGTGTGAACTCCCCCGTTCTCCCGGGCAGCCTGGGGCAGGAGACAGGCCAGGAGGCAAGAGAGAGATGGAGCCAACAGGGACAACCAGAGGTGGCTGCAGCCTGCCAGCTCCCAAGGCAGGGCAGGGGCAGAGGAAGTGGTGTGCACAGGTAGAATGCTTGGCCCAAGTTCTGCTGCGCGGGACCCTGCAGGGCCAGGGACCAGGGACCAGGGACCAGTTCCCTCACTGTCCAGAAGCCCAGTCCCACCCCAGCGCGAGGCCAGTCTCTGCTGACAGGGAGATGATGGCCATGAAATCAGAGGACCTGCCTGTTTGGACGCCGCCGATGCCAACCGACATCTTCACGCTGATTAATTTCACGCTGGCTGCATTCTCTTGAGTGATATGTGCACGGAAGAAATGAACACAGGGAGTAGGAACATTAGTACACAGCCAGTGCAGCAGCAGCCTGGGCCCACCCCGGCCCCCCAAGTCCCACGCGAAGGGCAGACATTCTGCTGTCTAAGCCGGCCAGGAAACCGTCCTTGGTAGCTGTTGCCACTGGAAAGAGTGTTGCCCGCTCTTCAACGGTACAAAGGGCACAAAATCAACCAACATACAAGCAGCTTTGGGGACAGAGCCAGGCGAAGCCCCTCTCAGGCGTCGGGCCGAGCTTTCTGCAGCAGTGACATGGCACTGGGCGCGTGGGCCTTCTGCCAGCCAGTGGGAGCACAGACCAGACGGGGCAGGGAGCCGCTCTCCCTGGGCACAACCAATCAGGAGGCTCCCACACTCTCAGCAGTCAAGATTTATAACACATGAGCGTGGTATTTAAAACACTAAAGTCAATGCAGAAGTCCACCCCGGATGAAATACGAAAACCTCTCGTAGACACGGAGGCAGTGTGGCTGCTGTTTCGTGGTGCCGTGGGTACAACAGGCTCTCGCGTGGCTCTGTTGCTCACGGATTTGCACTCATGGTGATTTTTCAAACATTATATGTTGAGTTTTGAGGGCACACCCTGAGATTTTGTGCCATGAGGAGTGACTCCTTCTCTTTAAAGAAGTCTTGGCCTGCTGGGACTGTTACCCAGAAGATTCTAGAACAGAGCCAAGTGGCCCAGGACACCATGGGGGCTCGTCTCTGGTTACTTCTGGATCTTGGTATGGTTTGCCCTCTCTGCGTTTGGGGACTTTGCTTTCCAGGCTGCAGTCCCGTGTGAAACCCCCAGCGGCACTCTTTTGGGGTTCTGCAGCCACGTTAAGCGAGAGGCCCCGGGGTGGGCAGCCGCAGTGCTGCCCGTCCACCTGCTGGGCCAGCTTCTCTCCGTCAGGAGACAGTGGCGGGGAGGCGGCCCCGGGTGCAGAGCCTGGCGTGGGCCTGGCCGTGCCTCGCAAGGCAGCCCCCTGGAGCTCTGGGCACAGGCTGGCGAGGAGGCCCGGGTGCGGGGCAGTGAGCCGTGGAGGGAAGTGATGTCCCGGAGAGGCCCGTGTGCCTGGAGCACGAGGACTTCCCGTGTGAGAAATGGGCACTCAGCAAAGGGCAGCCTGGCCCTGGGCCCGCGGTCTCCCTCATGAGAAACGAGGCCATCTTTCAAATTCCTGCCTGCGAGGGTGCGGCGAGCACCGGCGCCCGGCTCCCCGGCTCGCCCCAGCCATGAATTTGCCGCTTCTTAATGTAAAACCTGCCTTTCCTGGTCATTGTGCCGACTTATTTACGGCCTGTCTTGGGAGGCTCTTGATCAATAGACTTAGCCCCACAGTCTATTCCTTCCTCTCCGTTGTTCTTGGTTGTATTTTTAAATTACACGGGGCTGCTAATGATGGCGCTGCGTGCCCTGGAGTGAACCTGGGCTCGGACTGCTGGCGGCCGGGTTTAAAGCCGCTGTGGCCACAGATGAATTCCGACCTCCCAGACAGGCCGGCTTCTGGGCTGAGCTTGCGTGTGGGAGTGGGAGGCTGGCCAGCCGCAGGCCACAGGCCTTGGCGTGGGGGTGGGGGGTTGGGCTTCACTCCAGGGACTTCTGGCTTTGTCTTTCATGTTGCAACAGTGAGAATTACTGAACCCAGATCCCAGGGGGGGGTCCTTCTTGAGAGCACCCCCTGCCCCAGCTGTGACCCCCCTGGGGTTACCGGGGCAGACTCACTGGCATGTCCAGCACGACCCCCCCTCCCAGGACACTGCTCCCAGGTGTGGCCTGAGCGCGGTGGGAGCCTGGTGCAGCCCCTGCGGCGGTGCCCCCGGGGCCACAGCCCGAGTCAGGACTGCTGCCCAGTTCGAGCCCAGGTGAGGGCTGGAGGCAACCACAGTGCCGACGCTGATTTGTGTGTCAGTTAAACGATTGTCTGCATTTTCCTGCCAACGAAGATCAGTTCTTGGGGCCCGTGAATCGTGTGTTTAGTGAAAGCTGCAGCTTTTGGGCTGCGAACAGAAAGCGTCCGCTTGCGTCGCTGGGGGCGGTCCCGGCGCTGTGCAGTTCGACAGCTTCCTCCGGCCAGAGCCGGCAGCTCCCACCGATTCAGTAATCCACGGGCCAGGGACTCACATCGCCCCTCTGTTTTCCTCTTTTATCCCACAGAGCAGGCTTATCTCCACCTATCAATTACGCTGCTATTAATTTAGTTCCCTGTGTCTCTCCCTCTGCTGGGTGGGGGCACGCTCACTTAAATATATATATATATACATATATATATATTTCCCCCTTGCTGGAGGCTTCCCTGAAACAAAGCTAATACTCAGCATTTGGGATTTCAGCTGCTGCATCTCACAAAGTTTGGACGCATTAATGAACAGAAATAAGAGGGCAGAGGAGCAGGCGAATTAGACGCCAGGGGAGCGCATGCAAACAGGAAACGTCTGATGATGTGCATGGGGAGGGGGGAGGGAGCAAAATTAGTAAAAGAATTTGAAATTGTCTCATGCGCAGAGATTCTATTGTTTCCAGAGAATAATTCCATCTATTTTAGCATTTTCAAGTGCAATTCCATTGGCAAGCGCTCTTCCTTTGATTGTGTGCGACGCTAATTGACGGGTGTGGCTGGGAGTCTGTTTTGCCAGTCAGGCCTGCGTCTTTTGTTTGAAAAGGCCAAGTGCTGGCTTTCCTGCCCGGCTCCCCCTGCGCTCCTGTGCTGAGATGTGATGACAGACTTACAGTGTGTTTCCTTGTGTGTATGGTAACAGATGTTTATGTGAATAACAGACTTTTTTATGAAGGCATACACTTTATAGCCAAATACTAATTAAAAATAATTGCATGTAAGCATTTTTGTTTATTCCCCGTTGTGCATCTTTAATCATTTGAAATCACCTGCAGTTGAAAATTGAGGCAAAGACTTGATACTGCAATTATAAGAGGCCATCTGACTATATATTAGGTAGAAATAGCAACGCATTCGAGAGAAAACCATGTTGGAGTAGCCCAGCGCCAGGTCATCCTGGACTCTCTTGTTTATGGGGTCAAAATGCTAATACGTTACTTTGTTGAGCTAATAGGATTTTAGGGCGTCATCCAGTGAGCCCGGCAACTGCTTCCCGAGTGATATCCTATACCTGACACGTTTGGCGCGCCACAAGCTCGTTACAAGTGGCTTTTAATTGGAGGCGGAACAGATGGTTTGCGGTAAATATAGGCAGCGGCGACTCCACCTTTTTTTTTTTTTCTTTTAAAGACAAAAATTGCAGGTAATTGAGGCTCAGGACCCCAGTTTGGATTTAATAGTATGTGTTCAATTAAAGCAAAGTGCGAAGTGCCAGGAATGTGGCTCAGCCGCTGAGCGCCTGCAGGAGCCAAGCCCCTTCCTGGCTGCAGCCAGGACTCCCCACGGCCGCTTCTCCTGCGGCTCTGTGTGGCAGCGCTGCCTCTCGGTGTGTTGGGAACCATGAATAAGGCATCTCGGAGTGTTCCGGAACATTCTCACCACTGTGACATTTAACAGACACATTTAAGCAGACGTGAGAGGGACCGTTCCGGAAGCCACCTGTGCCTCTCCTCAATGGGTTTTAAGACTATTTGGGGAGGTGAGAAGCGAGAGGGGACAGATCACTGGGCACGAAGTTCCACTCGGAGAGTTTTCATTGTGAATGGGCTGGGCTCGACATTTGTGTTACGGGTGGGGTGAGGAATATGAAGCAGGCTTAGGCTTTGAATTGCACTTTAAAAACAAAGGTGTTCGCATTTAGGGGGCACATCTTTATCCGAAAGGAAGGCTCCAACAACACCCTCCCTCTCACCCCCAAGGTAAGAGCAGTTTAGAAATTAACGTACGGGGGTTCAGAGAAGGCAGCTTTTTGGCAGTCACCAATTTTTCTTTTCCATTTGCCCCCCCTCCCCTCCCACCCCCGCCTTTTTTAAGGAGAGAGGAGCTGGGAGCCAGCCTGCAACTCCTAATGCACGCGCTGGCTCGGGGACGGGGGTGCCCGGCCGGTGGTCCCGACGCCCGCAAACAGGCGTCCATCACGTCTGATTGACAAGGGCCCTTTAAAGAGAAGAAAGAGGCTGCGGGTTGCAGGAGAACTCCTCTGAAATCCCGGAACTAGGCGTGAGACGGTGGGTGGAAGGAGACGACGGGGGTGAGGACAGGGACTGGAGGAGGGGGTGAGGACAGGGACGGGAGGAGGGGGTGCAGGTCCCTGCTCCGGGGCGCCCCGCCCCCGTTCCTCTGCCCGGTGTTCCCGAGGCAGCGCCCCCTTCACGGCGAGCGGTGTCTCGCGGATGGCACTGCCTGGAAATAAGGCCGCTCCAGCATAAAATATTCCACCCGTGTTCCCTGGGGCGAGGAGCTGCCATGCGGTGCCTCCTCGCCGGGGAGCAGGGGGCCGGCAGACGTGGGGAGCAAGCATACTCCACAGCCAGAAATAGCACTAGTGAGGGGGTGAGGGCTTTAATTTCATTAAGAATTTTTCTGACAGCATGCCACCCCAGAGTCTTGTTCCAGTTGTTTCTTGTCACTGAAGGAGGGGAGGGGACCCAGGGGGTGGGGAATAAATCCCCAGGCCAGGCTGGTAAATTTCATTTTTTAAAGGTAAGGAGCACAGCGCACCGGCTGGGAGATCCCGTGGACGGCGGGGGTGGTGAGCGGGTGGGACAGGGCCGGCGCAGCCCCGTTTGGGACACGCAGCCTGCAGTGGCGTGGTGCCCAGGATGTATGGTGAGCTGGGGCCTGTGCCGTGCTGTGTGGCTTCAGAGTGACACCATGGCTTCCGTTCAACAGAAGGGATGAAGGCGCCCCCGTCCCTAAGCCAGGAGCGGCGTCCCAACTGGCCGAGCCCACAGATTCTGGGTAGTGGGCTCCGCGCTCCTGTGGCTGCCATGAGGCTCGGTTTCGGCCGAGCCACTGCCAGACTGTGGCACCTCTGTCCCCAGCGTGCTTAGGAGCGCTGCCAGACTGCCACGCCGCGCTGGACAGTTAGCGACCAGTCCTTACAGCCGCGACAGCCCGCCCGGCCTCCCGTGACCAGCAGGCTGCAAAACAGCCAGAGTCATTTCTCACTCCGGGGACCCCGAGGACAGCGCCTGCAGGACCGCAGTTGTCAAGGCCCCGAGGGCGCGGCGCTGTCACCTTCATGCTTAGCTAGCTCCTGAGGCCTGAGTGAAGATTAATAGATGGCACGGCCCCCACCGTCGTCAGGCCAGCGGTGAAGCCGGGCGCACATTTGACGAGGCCGGCGGTCCCATGACTGAAGAGCGCTGGCGCGGCATCCAGGAGGCCTCGGAGCTGCCCGGGTTCCGCTGGTGCCTGGCGCACCTTGCAAAGGCGCTGGTTCCTGTCCAGCACGACCCCGGCCTCCCCTCGACGCAGCTGTCCAGAGCAGGCCGCTGTCCATGCCTCGCTTTCCCAGGGCTTTCTGGAAGCACTGGCGTTGGAAGCCAGGGCGCACAGAGAACGCACGCGGATGGCTCCCCTCTCAGCGCGCTGCAGTGGCCGGGCCCCGGCTAGTCCCCCGGCCATGGCACCAGGGCTGAGCTCCTGACCTGAGCCGAGACTTGGACCACGCGGGTTTCCCGGTCGTGCCTCCTGGACCTCATTCCCAGGCCTCCGGCGGGGACGCACCTGAGCTAGGGCAGTGGCCGGGAGAGGCCCTGCAGAACTTCTCCAAGGCTGCTTTATCGTTGTTATTTCGACTTGGTTTCATGAAATCTGCCCCTCTTTCCCCGTTACCGGGAGCCGAGAGCTCCATCGAGTTCATCTGCGCCACCAGCCCGTGGCACCTCCGCGTTCAAGGGGGCACCCAGGGTGAGCCGTGAGGAGGAGCCTGGCAGTGAGGGGCGGGGTTCGCTTGGCCAGGAAGGCGCTCGGGCTCGTTCTTCTGAGCCTGGCTCTGCGCAGAGCCCGGCTGAGCGGTGCTTCCTCTGCCGCCGCTCGGCTCGGCTCTTCAATCGGCTGCACCTGCCTGGCTCTGGGCGCTGGGCTCCAGGTGAGGAGCAGTGTGCTAGACAGCAGCCCCCCACAGCACCCCAGTGCAGAAACCAACAGGAGCCGGTGCAGGCGAGGTTTGCTCATTCCTGTCCATTCATGCACCGACTCATTCATTCATTCAGACCGGAGAAGGAAGCCTCTCCTGGAAACCCAGGCGGGGTGGAGCTGTCCTGGGAGTGGCCTGCACGCCCACCTGTTCCTCCGCCCAGCACTGCCCCCGTCGTCTCCAGCCAACGCATCCAAGCGAGGGGCCGCCCAGCTCCAATTAAGTTTGAATTAATTCTTGCTGGGTTCCTTTACAAAGCATTCCGGCTTTAATTGTCTCACCTAGTTACTGGACTGCGACCCAGATTTAAGACCTGACACAGGTGATGGGAAGCGACGGGTTTCCTTTGACTGCGTCCACGCGTCGTCGCAAGAGCGTCGTGCACTTGCTTGTGGGTCTGCCCTTCCAGACTCAGCCTGGATGCGGCTTCCCTAAATAAGCAGAATCCGCACTTGCCCTGCCTCACACGGAGGATCACAGTGGACTGTCCTTGTGCTCGGAGCCAGGCTGCACTGGTGTTGGATCAAATGAGAACAACCTGTGCTTGTTTCTGCATGACTTTTGTTCCTACCCAAATTGTGCAGGGGGCTTGTAGGAGAGAGAAATGCCGACTCCACAGCTGCTAATTATAGTGTTCACTTCTAGCTACATAGCTGCATGCAAATATCAGCCTGTATAAATTTGGCATTGAAAGCACCCCAAGGCTCCAGTCTGGCAGATGGGTATTGGATCACAGCGAAACTTAACAGTACCTGGGAGCTCTGGGGCCACGCAGAGGCTCCGAGCAACAGGAGGGCATCCGTCTTCCCTCGTCGGAGACGACTGTGGGTTTTATACATTGTTCTGGCCTGAACACATTTGAGAGGTGGTTTGGAAAAAGACTTTGGGCTGATAGCCAGTTTCCCTTAGTGTTCTGTAGACAGTCCGTAGATCTTGGAAAGCGGGGCATCTTTAAATCACTGTATTTTGTTTTATTTTAAGTTGAGGAGAAGTGGCGTGCACTGGGGGAGCGCACAGCCCACCCCGCGGCTGCACGGGGACTCTGGTGGAAGCGGGAGGCAGGTGCTGAAGCCAGCCGCGTAAACCCTGGGCTCAATTTCCCATCTTCCCTTCCGTGAGGAGTATTGCGAAGATTTCTTGGCCTTATCCTTTCTTACTTTGCAAAAGAAAAACACTCATCCAGAAAATAAGGCGAAATGAGTGCTTTTCAGAGCCGAGGGGGCGTTCTGGGGAGACCGCGGCCAGGGTGGGCACCCTGCCCGGGCCCTGGCCGCGGGCACACGTAGCAGCGTTCCTTTCAAGACAACCTGGATTTTTGGATGCGACACAGGTGATTCTTTTCTTGTTCGGCTGTTTTAAAAAAGGAGACAAGTGCACAGATGCAATTAAAACAAAACGACGAGAGATTTGCAAGGAAAAGCAGGAGCAAGGGAAGAACACGTTTGCGAAGCAAGAACGCAGCTCCCACCCAGGTGTGCAGCACGGGGGCGGTAGGCGGGGGCTCTCCTTCTCTGCAGCCGCTGTTTCTGGAATGAATTCAATGTCTCCTCCCTTGTAAATGGACTTAGTGTGTCCCCGGGCCATGAGCAGTCTGGGTCGGTTTCCAGGTTGTTATTTCTTTAGGGGAGAAAAATGAACTTAGGAAAATGATACCCACCAGATTTCCAGATGTCCAAGAAAATATATTACCCCGTGGCTTTTGATTCTGTATTATTTCCTTGAAAACTTCCTTGCCATGAACTTGGTAAAGCAAACATCTCTGGTTTTCCCAAAGTCTTAGGTAAATGAATAAAACTGGGCAGAATATCAAGTAGCTGTGTTTCAATTTGTCACAGTTTCCAGTGACGTTTAGAGCGAATGCGAAGTCCCCGGTGGCCCACGGTGCTGTGCTGAGCCCAGGCCCGGCCACCTCTGCAGGGCCCTGCTCCTGCCTGCCTCTTGCTGCCCCTGTTTCTGCCTCAGGACCTTTGCCTCCTGCTGGGCCCAGGCCTGGGGCTGCTTCCTCCACTCTCCCACCCCTGCTGCTGTCTGGATCCGGAGGAGACGTCCCTGGCCTTGCCAGGAGGGGCCGGGTCCCAAGCAGAGGGGCCCCCGATGCTCAGGCGCCCCCTTTGTGTCATGGTGGCTGTGGATGCTGGGCCCCGGATGTCCGCCCTCCCTGGCTGAGCAACACGGGGCAGGCGCTGGCTCTGTTCTGGCCGCCGGGCCCTGGGCCTGAAGCACGGGAGACGTCCAGCCGCGGGCTGAAGGAAGGTCGGAGCAGGACAGGGAGCGGGGACAGGCAGAGGCGCGGGTCTACGCCTGTGCTTCCAGCTGCAGGGCTGGAGTCAGGCGATGAAGAAGGCCGCGGGGGCGCCGCTCCCCTCTTGCACCCTGCACCAGGCTCCACCCGAGGCCTCGGCCAGTGGTGTCCACGTCCCGGGCTCCCCCACCCCCTTATTTTCCCATTGACCAGGTGAGGAAATCTAGGCCTGGGAGGTGAAGAGAGCCACGTTCAAGGTCAGCTGGCCAGCAGGTGAGAGACGAGGTCCAGGCTGTGCTGGGGGCAGTGGCTCTCCCAGGACTGCAGCCGCCTCTGACTGTGGGCCGACCGTGCCAGAGGCCAGCAGGAAACGCGTCCCTTGTCACGGGCCCGGCTGTGCCTTCAGCGCGTAATGATCCTGGTTTCCCAGCTTGCGCGTGGTCTGAGGAAGCCTCGTGCTGGAAGGCACCACGGAGGACGGCACGGTGACAAGAGCAGTGACGGCTGACAGCCTGACACGGGTGGAGACGAGACTCAGAGGCAGCCGGCACCGCGGACCAGGCAGGCTCAAAATAGCCAAGTCCCGCCTCATTAGCCGGGGGGCACATTTTTCTAGATCCTCTCTCATAGAGGCCAAAAACAATTGGCGACTCCAAGTCGGGATTCCTCTTTAAAGCATAAGCAACAGTCATATGGCAAATTAATTTCTCCATCTCCGGCAAAGGAAATAGTGCAATGGGTGCCTGCCAAGTGTGCCGCGTTCAAGGCCACTGCAATCAGGCGTCCCTGCCTGTCCCCGGCTGGGGGCTGATGGCTTCTCGCCGCTGCCCCTCCCCAGATTCTCAGTCCTTAATTTTTTGTGCCTTTTGCACACTTGGCAATGAGATAAAAGTCTGTGTGTCACCTTTACTTTTGTCTTGCCAAGGAATTTATTGTTGAACCTTTTAATGAAAAAATAAATAAAATGGCATTTTATTCGGGCCCAGGTTGTCAAGGGAAGTCCCAGGAGCACAGGGCACAGAAGCCACACCGCTAATTCCCTTTCAGAGGTTGGAAGACGGAGTTGTTTTTTATTATTATTTTTGGAAATGATGTGTTGTGATTGAGCGGTTTTAGATACTGAGACGTGGCCGGCGCCGCGGCTCACTAGGCTAATCCTCCGCCTTACAGCGCCGGCACACCGGGTTCTAGTCCCAGTCGGGGTGCCGGATTCTGTCCCGGTTGCCCCTCTTCCAGGCCAGCTCTCTGCTGTGGCCTGGGAGTGCAGTGGAGGATGGCCCAAGTGCTTGGGCCCTGCACCCCATGGGAGACCAGGAGAAGCACCTGGCTCCTGGCTTTGGATCAGCGCGGTGCGCTGGCCGCAGCGCACCAGCTGCAGCGGCCATTGGAGGGTGAACCAACGGCAAAGGAAGACCTTTCTCTCTGTCTCTCTCTCTCTCACTGTCCACTCTGCCTGTCAAAAAAAAAAAAAAAGATACTGAGACGTGCTTGTTGGGTTTTCACGCATTGCACGCCTCCCGCGATGGGGCCTGTCTGCTCATCACGGAGAATTTACATGAGATGGGGGCGGGCTGTGGTGCACAGGTGACACTGGCGCTCCGTCACCCTGGGGATGCGGGGTTTGCGCTGGGCACCGGGGCGATGGCGGGAGCCTCCCAGTCTCTCCTGAGAGAGGCAAAATCAGATCTTTAGAACTGCAGGCCGGCAGCCCTGTCTCCCCGACGACTCTGGGGCAGAGTGCAGGCGGCTGCAGCCCTGGCCCGACCCCCACCCTCGCCCTGGTGCTGCGGTAGAGCGGCCCTTAACCCGTTCTCCGGTAGCCAACACTCGGACTTGGGAAGACACATGTGACCACACTTGAACTCGTAAAGTTACAGCATTTATTTGAAATCGGGGCTATGAAAAATTGAAGCTTTCATTTTCCCGTGAACTCTTGGTCCTGGTTTTTCCTGGACTGATTCTCCTTTCCCTTCCTGGAAGGCCGTAGCTTCCATTGGAGCCCCCGAGACGCGGGGAGGGGAATGGCAGCCCAGGCTTCAGAAGTGGAAAACGAGACGCAGGTCCAGCAGCCACTGTGTCCACCCGGGCCAGGGGAAGGCAGGGACTCGAGCGTCTCCTCCAAGGGACTCGCAGGGTATCTGCTCAGACTCTGGGCAGTGGAGATGCTCAGAGCTCTGTGGAGATGTGAGGCCAGGCTCCCTTGCAGCCGTTTTGCTGCTATGAGGCAAGCCATCCAGGGGCAAACTTGGGCTCACCATTTTTTTTTTTTTATCTTTATTTATCTGAGAGGTAGAGTTACAGAGAGAAAGAGAGAGAGAGAGAGAGAGAGAGAGAACTTCCATTCACTGGTTCACTCCCAAAATGGCTGTAATGCCCAGAACTAGGCTGATCCGAAGCCAGGAGCCAGGAGCTTCTTCTGGGTCTCTCAAGCAGGTTCAGGGGCCCAAGGACTTGGGGCATCTTCTACTTCTTTGCCAAGCCATAGGCCGAGGGTTGAATTGGAAGAGGAGCAGCCAGGACTTGAACTGGCGCCCATATGGGATGCTGGTGCCACAGGCAGAGGCTTAGCCTCCTACGCCATGGCGCTGGCCAGGAAACTACTTTATTTTGTAGCCAAATTTAATAATCTTATTGAAGAGACAGAATAATTATGTACACATTTATTCAGTTCAAGAGTAAAACAAAATATTGGAGTTGCTGATTTTTTTTTTTTTTTTGACAGGCAGAGTTAGACAGTGAGAGAGAGAGACAGAGAGAAAGGTCTTCCTTCCGTTGGTTCACACCCCAAGTGGCCACTACGGCCAGTGCTCTGCGCTGATCTGAAGCCAGGAGCCAGGTGCTTCTCCTGGTCTCCCATGGGGTGCAGGGCCCAAGCACTTGGGCCATCCTCCACTGCACTCCCTGGCCACAGCAGAGAGCTGGCCTGGAAGGGGGTAACCGGGACAGAATCCGGCGCCCCGACCGGGACTAGAACCCGGGGTGCCAGCGCCGCAAGGCGGAGGGTTAGCCTAGTGAGCCGTGGTGCCCGCCATGAGTTGCTGATTTTTTAAACTTTGGAAAATAAAGAGCATAGGGATGGACAAAGAATAATTGAGCTATAACACCGAGCCAGAAGGTTGTAACACATTCACTTCAAGTCCTGGAATTATAATAAAATGGAGAAGAAAAGAGGGTGTCGGTCTCTGTCATCCAGAACCACAGGCGCAGCACCTCCCCCACAGAACTGTAGGATCCTGTGAGGTCGCAAGGGCAAGTATGCTTGAAGCATTGGTAACTATCGGCGGTATCTGCTAGGGTCTGCTTTGCGTTCCCGGATTCACAGGTGGTGACTTGTTCCTTCAACTCAGCTACGCATCCATGCCTGCACATCAGTACACCCACTGTTCACCCTAAAGATGGGCTCAGGCGCTCGTAGACATCTGGGTTCTCCCATAAGGCTGTGGCAACGGTGACGTCACAACCTTGCTCCGGCTTTCCTTGGAGGCAGACACTGCCTATGACGTCTCTGGGTGTAGGATTGGTGCACTGTGCTCTGCTAGGGCCAGTGAGCTTTGTTTTCCTAGGTGGCTGTGCCAGCTGCACTGAGCCGGGGAGGTGTGCGAGACACTGCTCCCGGAGCGCCTGCCACCTGCTGACAGCCACCTCCGCCAGCGCGGAGGGTGCAGGGCTCCTCAGCTGGGGTTCTCATGTTTTCGTCTGCAGTATCACTGTGAATGCGCAACATTTCCCGGGTCTCATCGACTGATTTCTCCCCTCCGTGGAGAACCTGTTTAAGTGTTTTGCGCATTTGCTGTTGAATTGTTTGTCTTTTTCTTATTGATTTGCGGGTCTTCTTTACATAGGCTGGCTCCTAATCTCTCTGTCTATAAAAGCTACCAGCTTTTGTCTTCTCACGTTTCTGCATTTACAAAGGCTTTTCTTACCTTCAGAATTTAAAAAGAATGTTTGATGCTTTTATCTTAAAATATTTGTATCTTTTAACATTTAAGCATCACACTTAAGGAATGCTATGAAGAATGCATGTGAATACATCTCGGTCAAACCAACAATCAATTTTCCCAATCGCATTTGTGAACCACTGATGTGAAATGCCGCTTTAGATTATTACACAAATAGGCATACGCTGTGTACATTTCCGAACGCCTGCCTGTTGATCCGTGTCACTCTCCCGGGACGGCTCCGTCCGGGTCTCCCGTGTGGGGGCAGCGCCACTCCTCGGGCTGTTCCCACTGCTTCCCAGGACACTTTAGCAGGGAGCTGGATTGGAAGTGGAGCAGCCAGGACTCGAACCCCGGCTCAGTGGGCTGCCCGCATCGCAGACGGTGGCTTGACCCACTGTGGCACAGTGCCGGCCCCCACTCCGTTATTGGAAAACATTAGACAAGGCACGTTATGCTGTTCCTGTGACACTTTGGTGCCACACCAAGAGCCTAATTCGGAGCGGTGCACTATTTGGGCAGTTTATTTGCTGGCTGTGTCTTGGGCTGGCTGGGGGCCTGCGCAGAGGGAGGGGCTGCAGAAAGCGGGGGGTGGGGCAGGGGGCCAGCGTGTGCCATGATTTTGTTGTTGTTTGCTTGCTTCACTGCCCCCGAGGACGGGGGCGGGGTGGGGTGGGGTGCGGTGGCTGACCCCTGTCTCGTGCCGTCATTGGCCAGCCCCAGGCCTGGCCTCCTCCTTTGGCCGAGCAGACCCTGCAGCGCGCCTGGTGAGATCTCGGGCCCCTCCCCCCAGCACAACGCCTTGACATGTCCTCTTCTGTATTCACGCACACATATCCATGGGTTTAGTTTCAGGTGTCCTGGGAACCAGGAAGGTCCAGGCTGAGGGCCCTGACGTGGCGGGGTCAGGGCCAGACGCTGCCTCAACCTTTGGAGCCCACTTCCCAGAAGCGAGGGTCTGTGAGCTCACTGGGGGAAGCATCCGTTCTGGTCCCCAGCTGACATCTGGCACAGGTTCTGTCCAGGTCACCGGTGACCAGGTCTGCCTGGCCCCGGGCTCACGCCCCTGCCCGCTGTGCCGCCCGTCTCTCCTCCCGGAGGTGCTGGCAACACCGTGACCGCCACCCTTTGCTGACCCTCACCCCCCGCCACCAGGTGGAACCTCTGGCTGAGAAAGCCCCCCTTGCCTGGTCACATTGGGCGCCCCCGAGGTGTGTGTGGGGGCCACACTCAGGTCTGACCAGGACTCCGAGCAGGGACCGTCCAGGCTGCTTCTGAAATGTTCGGTGCATCTTGAAACAGGAAGCGGTTCCTGTGCCGCGCGTCCTCACTCAGCCCTAAAACAGCCGGAGAGGGGGCTGCGCCTGAGATCTGGGGACACAGCCTGAAGCAGGTGGAATCTTGCCGTTGGTTCCCATGCCACCTCCTCCAGGAAGCCTTTCCAGGTTCTCCCACGCAGGAGCCGATCTCATTGACCTCTAAAGGTGGTGCTGGCAGTGCTGCAGCTCGGGCCTGCTTTGGGCCAGGGCCCCGGGAAGCTGCCAGGGCCCCACACTGTCATTAAGTGGATG